CCATTTTTCAAAAACAAAACAGAATGCTACTGCCACCACTATTGCTCAAGTGCACTGACTCAACTTCCCTCAACATAATAATGGATGTTGTTACATGCCATATTCATAGAACAACCATCGACTTACTGTAGGAAAAATTTGATAACCACTGAATCTTCAGAAGTAGACTCGGTACTTGGCTGCTTGAATCTTATGATCTGGAAGCCAATATTGAGTGCACTTTTCGTGGTATATAGTTTTATCGCATATATAGGGAAATTCTTATTACAAATAGCAATTCTTTGAAATACTCTTAAAGTTGCAAGTCAGAGTGACGTGAAAAAAATGAGACTCATCTGCTATGTCATTATCCGACATACACCAGAAATTATCTATCCATTATATGCTCTTAAATTCTTAAAGATATGTCTACTATATTTACCATTCATAATGATTTTAATTTATTAGAAGGGATATGATTTTAAACATCCATCAAGATTTATCTATTTGCTATACCTAATACTATTAATTTATTAGAAGGATTTAAGTATAAAAGCCGTTTAGACGGTTCAACAAATTTTCATGGCATATAGTCAGTGCAATGGTATATAATATATATTCGAGTATCTTGATTATTTGGTAACCCAGCTACTTAAATCTAATAGTCAAGTAATATTTTTTTAACATATTTTTTTTCAACCAAAAACGAATGTCTAAGTCAATTGCATAAAAAGTCATTTTGGCAGCATAATTAACACATTTTTAAATGCTCCACACTAACAATTAAATTGGCAGGTTTTGTTTTAATTTTACAGAGATTTTTCATGTTCAATTTGCAGATATAAGTTACGCTATAAATGAATGGCCGTACGGCAAGTTAGATAAACGGACGGACGGATGGGACGACACGGGACGGGCTTATGAAATTTACCTTTTACCAAAATGCATGCAAAACTTTTCATTTTCTATTTACTGTTCGGTTGTTTATCTATCACTGCAACCGTCTATTTGTCTGCTTAGCGTCCGTCCAGCGATTCGTTGTCTATTTGTCCATATATCTTCTGTATGAACTGGCAAGCAGTATTTGTTCGCCAAAGTGTCTAAGTTGCTGTTTTGATAGTACCAATGTTGCATGCTTAGCCACAGTTTACCTGTCAATTCCCCAGATTTTCGCAACAACTGCTCTTGTGAACGTCCTTTGTGCTGCTTATTGAAATGTTTGATTTTCGGTTTTCAAATTTTCCATTTTATTTATTATTTTCTTCATTTTTTCTTCTTATTGATATTGTTGTTTTGTTGGTGCTTTGATTGCAGTTGTTGGCAAAGGCTCAATTGTCTGAGATAGGCCCGAAATGTGCAATATTGGTAAAAGGTGTGTCAGTAGTTGCTGTTTGCATGGCAGAAGTAAGCCAGTTTATTTGCTTTTGGTTTGTTTGCTGTTATTGTTGTTTCGGTTGTTGGTTGGTTGGTTGTTTGTTGGGTTGTTTTTTTTTTATTGGATTATTTGTTGTTATTGCATTGGTCGCATGCCGGTCGTACACTTGTGGAATCAGTGGCATCACGTGGAGCGATCAATAAGTCGAAAGCACGCAACACTTGACTTATTCGCAGCCAAGTGGGAAGTGGGTTAATGCTCAGTATACTTTTTAAATAGCAAAAACCTTAAAATAAAAATTCCGTAAAAAAATTGTAATTTATTTTTAGTATTTCCTGTAATTTTACTTGCTGCTCCATACGCATTTCAATTGTATTCAATAAAAGTAAAAATTTCATTTGCCACAATTTTAGGCATTCCATCTCATTTCGCTTTTAACTTTTTTTAATATCTTAAATTTTTTTTTTTTATAATCTCAAGTGGCCTCAGCAGTAAAATTGACGACTTGCGCATCAAAAATGTGGCAGCCGCTTCTCGAAGCAGTTTCAAATCGGACAGTAAACATCCATTGATCTTTACATTTTTCGATTACTCATGCGAAATTGAAATTCTTTTTGATATTTTAACGTTTTTAAAATAATTTTATTTTTCATTTTTTATACTTTATTTACATTAATTTTATATTTATATGTCGAGTAGATTACAAACCATGACGATTTGTCAACTAAAGCCAAACTACTGCGCATTCATCTGAGAATCTGTTTACATATTGACAGCAATCCAAAGGTTGACATATTCATTGCTGTTCTACATTTGAATCTTCGCTCTTTCGCATGTGTTCCACTATTCCATAATTTTTTATTAAAATAACAAGAAAAGTTCTTGGAGATTCAGAAGGAATTACAATTGTGCTCTCATTTTCGTTGCTTAATTTATTTGCCATTGCCTTTACTTTTTCTGGTACTTCAATTTATTTTGCTTTCGATTTCTCTTTTTATGTGAAGAAGGGATTATAAAGTACTTATATAAACGACTGATGATTATATATACGAGTACTTGGGATAACTTTATAATTAAAGTGCATACAATTCATGGGACGCTTGTATACCATGTCTGTCTCAATTCGACTTACAAAATTAAAAATAAAGATTTTAAATTTATTTTAAGAAAGTGTTAAAAATAAAGATAAGTCTTATAATATATACGCTGAAAAATATATATCGTTAGAGTACGTACATTTAATTTTTTTCAACATTAAGAAAAAAAAGCAAAAAAAATTTTATTTCTTTTAAAAACGTCAGAATTATATTTTAAGCAAAACCAACATTTTTACATATACTAATGTGGAAGATTAAACGCTGTTCTGCATCTTTACATTAACTCTATTATTCCCTCAGAATATCTTTTACAGTTTTCTGTAGATTACAGCGATAGAATTGGAGTTTCTGGAAATGAAACTAAAAAGAACTTTCTACCTCTCAACTTTCTATCTATCACACCTTTTGTAGTATACAAAAAAATGTAAAAGTTGACCATGTTTTGGCTCAAATTTGGAGCGGTGCCGGTAAGCCGATTGGTCTTAAATTATATTCAAAAAAAGGCCATCTCAAAAACTGTATTTAAGG